CTGGTACGGTAAAGGTCGAAAGGTCAACAGCCGGAAAAATCCCTCCTGGTTCGTAAGATATTTTTTTTCAAAAGCAAGTATGACCTCACTCCCTAATACCCTCAACGATGTACAAAGAACGGTCAGAAATTTTTTAGGCCAAATGCGACCGGAAGCGACCAAATACCGTCTCTGGTGAGGGTCCCAACGTACAACGTGCCCTGTTAATAGATGGGGATACTTGCTGCGCTTTTGTCTACAATCCTGTAATATATCCTCGTTGGTGATAGCATTTTATGACTATCACATAAAAATGTCTTAACGATTAGTTCTATAGACTGGTGGGTCTGCGTCTTCGAAGAGATCACACTGGGTGTGTGCTAAACTGTCGTGCTTTCCTTTGGTTCGGAAACAACGTGCCTGCTATGGGCACAATTTTCAGCGTAGGCGCATCAGTGGCAAAGCCAGAATGTTCCGCTTACAAGGTGACCCGGTCACTGCTGTCTGCCCTACAATTTCCCGAGGTTCCCTCACTCATCAGGAGGAGGGGGGAGGGCGTGAGCCAAAGCAGTAACGTTGAAGAAACAGCTGACTATCAGCAACGATTACAGGGCTTCTATCAACCGGACAAGTTTCGCTGCGAGGGTCCAGAGGCATTTCCTGATCGCATCTACTGGTCGAGCCTCTGTAGGGAGGAGGAAAAGGAAGAGGGAAGAGAGAGTTGAGGGAGGGAAAGAAGGAGAAGAAAAAAAAAGGAAGGTGGAGGGAGGCTTTGCGGTTGACAGATATCTTGAGACGGTCAGCAACATCGCGTTGCAACTGCACGCGTCTACGCCCAGTACCATTTTATTGGAATGTCCGAAGGAAGTTGAGAATCGCATTAGTTAATTAGTACTGAACATACTTTGTCATATCAATGTCATATCGTGTGGTACGTCGACTGCCATCTGGGCGAGTTTCTGCTTCGATTGTTATTGCCTAAATCTCTACATTTGCTGAAGATGCACGCAAATCACAACTGTAAGCGTAATCCTAGGTGATTTCAAAGAAACATTACAAACCTGGGCTGGACAGATGGCTTCACAAAGCTTACAAGCGATACAACGTTCTTCACCTGATGGGTAACGGCGAAGAGCGTGCTCTCCCCTGAAACAGTAGCTCTACGTTGAATCGGTGGATTACGCTAAAGTAAACCACTTGAAGGCACAATTCCGCGTTGATCGTGTGGGTGGAGAAACTTGAGCAAGTGTCTCATCTTATTGGTGATTTCCTCTTTGGAGGTGACAAGGAGAAAGAATGCATCAATATTACGACCCTGGTCATTCCGCTCGTACGATGAGCCCAGAATGACTTGAAGAGAATGAAGAATGGCTTTATCTGCGGTGCATCAAAGTGGTCAACAAGCTCGGCTGCAAGTTTACATGATTCGGGACACAGTTTCGAACTCTGAGCGTCATTCTGCATTCTGGACTTTGCAAAAAAGTGCCCCTTCAAACAGTTCGTGGGGTATGGGTCAGAAGGTCCACTTGCGGCAGTGCGGCCAACGAGTGCATCGCTCGCGGCATGTGTCGCTGCGAGGATATTTGATCGCGCAACCATTGCGCCAAATCACCAAAGTATTTTCCACTGCGTTTATTGGGTGTTTCAGGGGAACTGAGTTTGGCGTGGCGCCAGTCCGTTCTCCATTACCTGTGAAAGCCGACAGGCGACTACAATTGGTGGAAAGCTGGCTAGCGCAGCACCAAAATCGGTCACGGCGACACGCCATGTGTACGCAGCGAACAAGACTATATTTTCACGCGATGTGCCGCTAGGTGGACCTCCTGAGCGACCCCTCTCAGCAAAGAGCTCCCTTGAACCAGTCAAACTGACCTGAATCGCGAGCTGAGAGGACCTTTCTCAAAAGGGTAGTTGATTGTGGCAGGTTCCATAAAAAAGTGTCCCAGCATTACGCCAAAGCCTTAAAATTCCTATAAACCTCATTTACTTGAAAATATTCATTGGCTAAAGAGTACCTCGAAACATTTCAGTGAAGAACAATGTATGAAGTCCATAGTTGAGATCACTAGCGAATGAACCGTCTGTTTCCTCGACCATTCCAACGTATTTATAGTTCGTTCGTTTTTGCTGGACAGCGCCACTTGTTATAGCCAGCTTAAAGAGAAATGGATCTTGACAGTAACGTTACGTTCAGGCCCATAATTTGCCAACCTTTGGGATATGTCCAAACACTCCATTGTTCCCGAATAGAAGCGATTTCAGAGCCATCACCTGCCAAGACAGGGATTTCATATTTTACAGTATCGAATAAGAAAGCGGATTTTATCACTTGGTTGCGACTACTCAGTGGGCGGGACAACTGGGGAGGCGTGCGAACTGCCATTTATGAGATACGCAACGCCTTCGTTACCTACTGTGAAGCAAAAGCAGAATAATCCTGGAGACCGAGGACCAGGCTACTCATACAAGAAAGGAAGTCTACGAATCGCTTGAGCGCGGCGACTGCCTTTCAATAACGGTGCTCAGCTAGTTCCTCGGCACATGAAAAACTAGTATATCAACTCCCACCACTGGCTGAACGTTTTCCTTCTGGAGACTCAGAAATGGGAAGGAATAAATAGAATCCAAACAAAAATCCTTCAGATAGAAATCAGGGACTTCGGTTTCAGACAAGAGGATCGAAGTCCTAAGCGGGGACGTTATCTAATTCCCTCGACGTATCACTGTACTGCGCACATTTTCGCTTAGAACCTACAAGACGGCATCAAGGCTTATGAAAATGAGCCATGTTTAGAGAAATTGGTCTGCCAGCCACGGGCTTGGGCCAGTCATGCTAACCGAATGTAAACGCCTTCCAATTCAGCCATCCCCTACAAGAATAAAAATGCAAGGCTTATTGCGTGAGTCGGATCTGCGGGTAAGCGTGAGGTAAAGCCAGTCGGTCGCGCCATCTTCGCATGAGAATCAGCTGGAAACTTAGAAATAGCAGATAAGTGGGCTTTCACAGCTACGGAAAACGGTGCGAGAGAGCGGCAGAGCAAAAAAAAGTGTTTACTAAACATGGGAGGTCCTGAATCAGCCGTCTGCTCCAACACGTTCGTATCGATTAAGCAGTGCTCGGCTCGTGAAAACAGCGCGAACGCCTGAATTGTTGAGCTCTTATTGGTGGCTGGCTTGATTCAAACCAGATAGTGCTTGTTTTGCTTCAAAAGCAATATCTCAACACTCCAAGTTCAGTTTTTGCGTTGTATGAGTTAGCTTTTTTGACGTTTAAATTTAGTGGTAGCGAGGGTGAATGACGTGGCAGTAGCAAAGAGGCCTTACACTGGGTCTCAAGATACTATGGTGTTAGACGAGATACGAGTCTTGTATCCCAGTCCCACTTGTTGGTCTTTGTTAGGAAAACGGCAATCGGCTGCTCAAACACCGTCTGACTGGAAATGTGAACCCTCCAAACGCAGTTTGGAATTTTGAGCGGGGCAATGTGCGTGGCGGGCAACCGGGAAGAGGATTGGTGAAGCCTAAGCGTAAATTCATGTAAGTGCACTTCTGTCTGTATACGGCCGTATCGCTACGATGGCAGCCAAAGCCCAGGAGAATGTGGATGGCTAGACTGAGTGTGACAGGTTGTTAAGGGTGGTGTGAGTCGGCGAGTTGCGCAGGGGAGTGAGAGCGAGTAGGAGTGGGGGATTGAGGGGGATCGTATAGAGAAAAGTTTCGCAGAAGGAAAAGTACAAGAGTGAATGAACCTTGGCATACATGTTTCTTCGTAAATGGTAAATCAATTTGAGGAACATCCTCCACAGAAAACTAATGATAGCTCCCCTTCGTGTCGGCAGCTCCTCCCATGTTTTGTTAGATGATTTTCTTTCGATGTTCTTCTGTCATTTTAACTGCAGCGGTTTTTGGCGCAGTTCAGCGACGGGGGGGGGCATATTCCACTCGTTGCTTCACTAGTTCCGGTTTACAGGTCTCACTCGGTGAACACGCCTGAGTGAACTCCTGGGGGGGGGGGGGGGGGGCGGGGCGGGGGCGGGGGGGGGGGGGGGGGGAAGTGAGCAAGCTCTAGTTAAACACCTATTAATGGATGTCGACCGACACTGATGGGTATGAAATGCAAAATGCCTCCCTCCCCCTCCCCTTCCCACCGTCGCCGAACTGCACCGCGGTTTTTGTCAAGGGCGACTCACTTCTTCCAGCTTATTGGATTCCTTATGCAATTCGGTTCATTTACATTTTCATAGTCCAGAGTAAGACCCAGGGGTTCAGAGGTACTAATTTGCTGTTGTGGTACCATATAATGTTGTTAGCAGATTCAGTCCAAAAGTTTCTTAACATTATTCTTGTGAATCTTCAAAAATCAACTTAAGTATGAGACTCTGCTCTCCGAGTTCTTGATATTAGTTAGCAGTTCTCTTTCTTCCTTGAAAGCTGGCGTTTTCATTTCTGAAGGTCACATTCTACAGCTATGCTGGCATTGAAGTTGTCTTTAGGGGTACAAGGAGAAGGAAACCTAGGGAGGGAAAGCGCCACGCCGCGCTTCTGCAGATCGCTGAATCGTTCCCATCCAGACCATAAGGGAGCCTGTGCTGGGTAAACTAGAACTATCTGGTCGAACTAGAGTAAAAGCATCAGGAATTCTTTCACACTCTGCACGTTGTTGGGCACGGATAACCTTGGAGGGGAGACTCGAAGGACTCGTTGTGCAAAACCGGTACTACCGTAGTGGAGATAATGACCTTTGTCGAAATCTGAAAGAGGAATCTAGCGGGCATGTGACAAGAGAATCGTATTTCGCCGCGCCAGTGGGCGTGCGTGCGGCGTCCTGCCCGCTAATGACACTATTTTAGGTGGTATTGGTCTAGAATAGACATTTGTATGATCAAAAATGGACATATGTCTACCATGTCCTTGACAGCGTGAAATGCTCCAATCGAAAGGTTAGCAAAAATTTAGGAAACGTCGCGCCCATTGCCGCGCGCGGCGAAGCGGCCATTTACGATTTCCTTGCCCGTTTCCCGAAAATAGCTTCTGAACCAATTTCAAGTATGGTCATACTATTCGCATATCAACTAATCTCAGTTGCACGAAGAATCCTTTGAATGCCCCTTCAAGATTGTAAGCCTGGGCACGTTGTACGTTTGGGGTACCCAACGCTAGGGTTCGTATCCTTCTGAGGGAAATGTTTTGGGTTTTCGAACTTTCTCCGTTTTTCCTGTTCCATGTGCTTGTCTCCCCCTCGCTCCGTAGAGTAGAGGATTCGGAAGTAAAAACTTTGGAAAAAAGGTAGGAAGTTGAGCACATTTAGGAAGATGTTGGGTGGGATGGAGAAGGAGGTTCGCGCCAGAGGAAGCAATTTCGAGGTGGGGAGGGGGGTCGTTTTTGCAAGGGGCTTCCCAGTGGCAGAACGTACACTGTTACCATTCGAGGGTATAGAGCTGAGATATAATGGTAACTTTCTAATATTCCAAGTGGAATGATGATGCGTGACGCGTTCCGAATCGACTGACTTTTACCCCCCCCCCCCCTTCTCCTCCTCTCCCCGTCGCTCGCTCTTCTACCGTGTTTCAGAAGAGAACTGCTCCCGCACTGCATTCCACTGTAATAATTGCGACAACGACGGCGTTCCATCGCCGTGGGCGGAGCTTCACATGTCGGTACTTGTCCTTACAAGTCCCAAGTCCTGCCAGCTTGGACCACAGCTAAATTAGCCTTGTTCAATGAGAGCTCCGTACAGCTCTCAGGATCTGACGTGTGAAGCCCCGCCCCTCCGAAACGACACCATCCGGTCTGATGCGCGCGTATCGACTTTGTATTCAGCATGCATCTTGCCAGCTTCTTCGTCGGCTGCCATTTCTTGTGTATCTCCCGATGCAGGATTTCTGCCTTTACAGGAACTCATGTCTCCATTAATCATCTGTTTGGAAGTTGGACAACCCTCTAAGGATGTACTACTCGGACAAAGTGTGCAGGTATTACTCAAATTTATTTTGTCTTTTATTAGCACTCGATGAAACTTAAGGATTTTCGGCGCTAGCACAATAGATCCGGACATTTCGAACATAAATAAATAAATAACGAAATCATCTAAAATGACGACAGACAGTCTCCTCTGTCCCAAACAGTCTCGAAGAGGTCTTGTATTTCGCCAGCTGGCATAAAAGGAGCAGATTCTGCGAATTCCTCCACGGAGTTGCCAGGTCCTTAAGCGGGGTGTTCTTCATGATTTTTTCTATTGCTTTCTCCTTCCATGGAGGGTTGCGTAGCGTTAAGCGTTTGTTAACGGAGCGGTTACCCATATGCGATTCGGGATTGTCTTCATGTATTAGATATAAGAACGCAGATCGGATCAGCTCGGCTGCCGCCCGGGGTGCGCCTCCTTCTGTTTCACGGCCGAATTAGGTGTACGCAGATGGTATCTTATCTGTCTTATATCGATGATAAGATTACTAGCTCACCCGGGTCATTCCAGATTCCTCCATCACTAAGTCTATTAATTGGAATTGCATTGCAACAGCACGGGCGATCAACCTCCTTGTACGGGTCGCCGGTCGCGGCACGGCCTGTCAGCCCCTTCCATCAGGTAGTTATGCGCTGCCAGTACACCATGATTCAGCGGCTGGCCCATCCTTACCGTCTATATTCACTTGGCTGAGACGTAGTTTCGCTGATTGCTGTGCACCGGTCGACGCTGCGTGGAATAGGATGACGCTCACCTTCTACTACCCCCCCGACCGCCCCCTTGATCGTAATCTCTATCAGCAGGGCTTACAGTTCTCATCACTCAAGCAAAAAGTTCTTGGCCCAAAACCCTAAGTATAGTATCTCAGAAGTCCCGAGGCTAGCTGAGTGCTGTCAACCGCGGGAGTGTGATGAATGGGGGTGACCCGTCCTCTCTAACGCGGTCCTTTATCGAAACTTATCAGCAGCTGTTCAAGTTTTGTGACCACTAATGTTCTTGGGCCATACCGGTATATCATACTGGCAATCAGAGCTAGTTGACTGGTATCACTTGGGTTATGAATATCGTACCCTTCTTCTTCTAACGTCTCTTATCAGGTCTTATCAACTGATATCACTTCCTATCACCCCGAGATGGTACGCCGGTACGCCAGCCGTTCCGCTCACAGCCCTACCTCACTTCCTTGGAACGCAATGTATCAACTACTAGGCGAAAACCGTCTCGCCATGATTCGCGTGACAAACAGACGGCCCTAATCGGGACAGCGCCGTTGGCGGTGTTGCTTAAGTGACAAATAAAAGACAACTGTGCGGATGTTGAATATATGTTAGGCCTGTGGTGGATGAGAGACAATTCATCCATTCCCAGGCCCGAACAGAAATCCCCACACATGCAGCTTGCTGTTGTTTCTTCGTACGCTCCTGCACCAAACGGTATCCATCTAAAAACGTGAAAAGTTTTTCTCTCTAGAAGACTTAAGGCATTCCGTCGCTTCTAAAATTCATTGTGCCCTGATTGGCGACAAACTGTATAACGAGCCAAAATAGCACAGTATATGAGACCAGTACTCTTTTCTTATCCTTCGTAGTTGTGGCATGCAACAGACTTCTACCAGAGGTCTGGAAGTGGTTATATCTGACCCATACAATGGCGGTGGATACTAATCGACGCATAGATCGATGCTTTCGTGTACACCGACCAACCGATTCAATTACGTAGCTCAGGCTGCAGCTCGAGTAAATGCCCCTCTATTTACCGATGGCTACAGAGAATTCATGTTGCTCTAAACAATCTAATTGGAGGTTTGTATGATTCAGGGAGACCAGAAGAATCAATTCTAACATGGCTCATTTACTGGTACTTTTACATATGTTAAGCTGGTCGCCATGCTACCTTCAAAGCGTGGAAGTGGCATGGTCGCCAGGCTGCCGCCCTGCACGAAAACTATCCGTGCGAACAGATTCAGCCCAAGCCAAGAAGCCTTCTATGTTTCAGGATAGGCTAATCAGGGTTCTGAACCCCGAACACCTATGCGAGAACGTCATTTAATGGTCATGTACGGAGGTGAAGCATTACTTCCCAGTCGCGGCACTGCACGAGTACGAGTTGATTTGGAATATTGAGTCGATGGGCAGCGTTGCTGCCATGTTGAGTGAGTTGGGTCCTGGTGCGAATGCTACATCACCTCGTTTGTCACGCTTATTTCGCCACGACTGTCAAGTAAAGATCCACACCCCTCAGTACGCATGCGAAAAAACCTCCAAAAATGAAGTCGAATGGGGTAAAGCAGCCTAATATGTTCCCGTTCCATGTACCTTCTTCGCAGTAAGTGTGTATTTTTGTAGGGCTCATCAATCTCCCTGCCGATCTGGGATGGGCCGGGATGTCGTTAACGATTGCTGTTGGTATGACGCCGTTGGCAGATGGCAAGGATCGATGAGGCGCGAAACAATCACGGATGCGGTCCTTAGCTCTTCGTCCTTCTACTTTTCCCCTCTTACTTGTACGTGAAGTTGAGTTCTGGTGAGTTGTCGAAGTTTTTTCTTGTGCGAGCTCTTCTTCCCGGGCTCTGTAGTACAGTAGCCCTAGACGTGTTTAACTAGCTAGTGAAAGTTACCAAGCCGATTTCGACGAGTAGCTCCGTTAGAATTCGGTCCTCCCACTTCTGGGGCTCCTCTTAGTGTACCTGGCCGCATGGGAACATCCAGTGTTCAACCTTTTTGCCTTCTTTCCACTCAAATGGGTATCCAGTTTAACCGATGATTAGGTGTGTCCCGTGTAATCGCAGACCGTACAAAGGGTTCAGTTTAGGTCACGGCTGAATATTACAATTACCGACGCCATTTTCGCTCGGGCTGTTTCGATTTTGTAAATGACAAGTTTTTTACTACAAGCTAATGTTGTAAGTTTATGGTTTTAGTGCTTAGGTGACCATGGCGCTGAAATCCATTGGTCTGGCGAAAGGATTTGTATTCGGACGTGTCTCGACCGTTAGTTTTTTTTTCGAAACTTTTCGGGAAAATGTTGCATCATTTTTGCATGTTTCTTCTTTTTTAGTTGGGTGTAACTAGTGGAGCACTCCACCAGAAACGAACTAATTATAAATACGTTGGTATGGTAGAGGAAACCGATGGTTCATTTGCTGGTGACCTGAACTATGGACTTCATACATTGTTCTTCACTGAAATGTTTCGAGGTTATTTATTGAGGCCTTTTGCGAATTTTGAGATTTTCATTAGTTAGCGCTTTTCAAATACAGTTGTTGCTGTTTGCAGTTGTACAGTTCTTGCTTAATTTTAGCTTTACATATCAATTTATAGGCTTCGGAGTAATGCTGGGTCACTTCTTTATGGAACCTGCTACGATCAACTATCCCTTTGAGAAAGGACCTATCAGCTCTC